TTTTTATCAGATACATTTTTTTTAATATAAAACAACTATTAGTGGTCCATCTGAACTCAGGATACATTAAAAATAACAGTGTTTTACATCCCGTCGATAATCCCAACGTTCTTGTTCAATAGATAGTTCCAATGACGCTGCTAAGCTTTTAATTTTTAAAATGCAATTAGATCTGTTTTATAGATTTTCAAACTACCCAGAATACAAGTTCAAACCGCTGTTCACACTTCTTTTTGACGCTATAATCTCAATTTCAATTAACAGAAACTGTCGCCTACTCTTGGATTTTAAAATATTCAATCGTTGAAAGCTTACATTATTTAATAATTAGAGTTTTTTCAATTAGTGCTAAATAAATAGACTAATTTATATTCTTAATAATTATATATATATATATATAGCCCTACAAAAAAAATATCTATACCAGAGACGTGAGTACATAGATATTGGTATTTTTTTATGCTCATGCTTTTTTTGAGGACTGTGTTATTCATTACTAGCCTGTCTGCGGAATGAATAACTTCATTTGTTAAGAATTATGGGAAAAACGAAAAAACTTCAAAATTAATTTGAACTTACTTCAAAAAAAATAAATAAACTCTTGCTGCGTGGCACACTGATGTATAAGATAGCCTTAAATGTGATACGTTTATATACCTAAAGAATAATTGTTCGAAAAATTATCTCTAATTATTTCACCTACATCTCAAAAACTGTTAGTTCCAGAAGAAGGAACCGAAAAATAAGTTAACGACGATTGCAGTTTGGATATGTAGAGTGAACTCTAATTATTGTTTTATTACATATACCACGATTTTATAACAGCATTTTATATTTAATAAGGAATCGTTACTACAAACATTTGCATACATAGAACATGCCTAATAATATAGTAAGCCTAGATCAATTTAGGATCTTAGAAAGTTAAAGATTTTGAAACAAAAAACAAGCAAGAACTTTTGAAATATTTATACATTATACTTTTGTAATAACATTTGTGAATCCCATGTGAATTAGCAAGAAAAACATCAAATCACACTTGCTTTTATTAATGTTTACAATGTCCTTAATAACCTCTGGCAATTATATGTAAAGGCTCTTCACACTGATGTTGCAAAATCGTCTTTGAAAGCATTATTATAGCTACTCTTACTCGTTTGTCACTGCGCATGAATATTACATCATTATCGTAATTCGAGATGTTATTGCTGATAATACTAGATGGTGTAACAGGTTGTTATGTTGAATTGAAACTAAGGCTATAAGCGAGACATGGGTATGTTAAAGGAACGTTCAAAATATATATGGAAGTAATGAATTACACCGAAAAATATTACAGTATTAACAACTAAATTTGCATGAACCTTTTTATCAGTTAATTTAATTTCAATGATTCAATTTTGTATACTTAATGAAATCGACGCGTTACTACGAAAACATGCTATCTCAAATTTAGCTTGGAAAACCTGCTATTTAAAATTGTAGTTGGAAAAGATGTAAAAGTTGAAAAGAAATAAATTTTGTGGAAAACATGCTACCTCAGATTGAACTGGAAAACTTGCTACCTCAAATTAAGCTTGGAAAACATGCTAGCTCAGATCTTTAAGAAAAAGCATGCTATCTCACAGAAAAGTAAGTTTGACTAGAAATTTAAGTTGGCTGCATTGACGTTGAAGTGCACATTGAATGATTGAAACCGTGCACTTATAATAAACTTATATAATATATTTTTCAAAAAGTAAGGAATATTTATGTTCAGGTACACTGTTTATATTATTTTTGTCATTCAACATTTTTCAATTAATTTTTTTAACTTACTGTTACGAACGACAAAATTGTTAATTAAAAACATAGAATAATATGCAGTGTGCTGCAACACGTACATTACTCGACGTTTTTTGAAATAACAAATTATATAAAAAATAGTGTACCTATATCTTAAAATATAAAAATGTATATTATTACTTACTAAAAATTATTCATTTTTTTTTCATACAAGTTTGCTTTGATATAAAAATTAATAGCGCACTCTTATCTGATTTATAGTCACGACTCTTGATATCTTTATTTTTTTTTCACAAAACCTGGGACGCACAATTTATTCTGAAAATAATTTTATATGCCTGATGCGGACTCTAAGGAGACTGCAATAAAAAGGATTATTTGTATAGCGGATCAGGCTAGGCCCCAAACTCCGGGTCTGAGTCGTTCTTACTGCACCTCAATAAAAACAAATGGCTTAAAGGTACGGTAGCATAGACTTTGGAAATGAAATGCAGGTATGCGACACTTTTATTACCAGTACTTTATGATCTGCTGGATATCGATGCGATAGGCGCAGAGCAGATGATATGCACGTGAACGTTTCCGCGGTTCCCCATGTACACATGTTTATCGTACATATCATTCAACTTTATACATTATATTTATGCTATTATGTTAACTACATTAATGAAATTTTATGAATAAATGATGTTTTTCTACAAATTGTTGCATCTTGTTCTTATTTGAAAAGTAACGATTGTAAAAACCGTATTTCACAAAAACACTGAAAAATTTTTGATATTTTTAATTAAACATTTGTAAAAAAGCAAGACTTTATGAATGCATGTTAAGAGCAATTGCCAAGACAATCCAGGTATAGCTGCTCTAAACGGGCACATTGTCCAGGTAAGAACGATTCGGAGCCGGGATTTGGAGCCTAGCTTGGTCCACTGTAATCCTTTTTATTGCAGTCTCCTTGGAGTCCCCATTAAGGCATATAAAATTATTTTTAGAATAAAAATAAGAGTATGACTATAAAAAGTGCACGGTTTCAATCATTCAATGTGCATTTCAACGCCAATGTAGCCAACTTAAATTTCTAATCAAACTTACTTTTATGTGAGACAGCATGTTTTTTCTTAAGGGTCTGAGCTAGCATGTTTTCCAAGCTTAAGGGCCCCATATTCTTTAAATAGTGTTTTCCGCAAAGACAAATAATTTCAAACATTTAATAACTGAATAATCTAAAGCTTATCAAATAATAGGAATGTTATGTCATGCCATCTGGATATTTTCAAAGACGCCGCAGTAAAGCGATTAAACAGGTGCAAAAAACGAACAAACCATCAAGGTTTTAGGTACTGAAATCTACGAAAATACTAACTTTTTTATATATAATTCCACATATAAATATTCTTATAACATTTACTTGCTTAGTCCTACATATAAAATTGTTTACTTTTATTTATAAGTACGTGAAAATAATTCTTAAAATGTGGGGTTAGAATAACAGCAAACGCATGTTTTACAAACGCTTTTTATTTTATTTGAGTAAATTTAAATGGTAACAATGAATAAACAAAACGTCAAGGATTTCATTTTTGTGCTTACTTTTGTTCTACACGTTTTACTTTTAAAGATTTCAGTACCTAAAAACAACAGAAATTTCACTATTTCTCGGCCGGGAATATGGCCACCTTAATTTGAGTTAGCATGTTTTCCCAGCTCAATCTGAGGTAGCATGTTTTCCACACACAATTTTAGTTACCTAGCATCTTTTCCAAGTACAATTTTAGATAGCATGATTTCGTAGTAACGCGTTGAAATAATATATCCTTAACAGTGGCGGCTCGCTAGGCGATGCAAGTGATGCACCGCTTCACCTAAAATTTCCGTTTGGTTGTGCAATTTAAAATTATTTTTAATTTTATACAAATTTTATAATTTTATAATTCTATATTGAAAATGTATTATGTTTGTTTATTTTATACGCAGAAATAAACAGAATAGTTGCGCGGTGAACGTCTTCTAAAAAAACATTGCCTTCGTTGAGCAAGAACATCAACTCGTATACAACGTATGGTATAAGCAAGTGACGCGGATCGAAATCAGCCTGTATTCCGCTTCTCTTCGTAGCGTTGTTTACGGCGGTTGTTATGGCAACGAGGCGACTAACACGGGAGTAAACTACGGCATGGGAGAACGTGTGACGCGGGAATTGAAGCAGCCTTGTCGTCGCTTGATGCTCATTGCCTGCCTTTAAACAATTCGTACGATATGCGTCGTCCAGTGCACGATTATAACGGTTCTTAGTTAATATTTGTTTTTTTTATAATAATTGTAAAAATGTTTACTATGTATGATCCAGTATGTATTTTATTGGAAACGCCATTTTCCAGATGGAAAATTGAGGACAAAAAAGAGAAACCTGTGGCTTATTCTCTCGATATGGAAAAAAGGGGAAGTCAAAAGACAATGTGTACGTTCCAAAACTTCGAAATTAATGGTATTCGGAGTATAAGTGGTTGTGTGGAAGTGTTTATTTAAAAAAACTTTTCTGTATGCCGTGATTAATTGTGGGTGTAAAGTCGGGCGTGTGGAATAAGGAGGCATTTAACAATTTTGGGAACGTCACGCGAGGCTATCGTAACCACGAAGCTTCTTTGGAACATACACATATACGGTGTACGTTAATGTTCGCAAAGGTCCACAAGCCGAACTAATATTTTTATTTTTTATAAAATCTAAATGAAAATCCTTCTCGCGAACGTCAGTTTTTCGGTAATATTCCAAATGCTATTAAAAATTTCCAGATTCATTTAAAGCCGTTTGACCTTGAAAATTTGAATATTTTCTCCTGCGGCGCTTTTTTGTTCTTTTTAGTTAATCACTGAATATGCTTCACCTATTCTTAAAGAAAATTAATAAATAGCGATGTCACTGCATTTTGAATTAAATTAAACTAAAAATCTGTACGAGTAGAAGACACTACATTTCCTGTTCGAGATGAAATATATTTTTCGTTCATTGTCTAAAAATCATGTTTTAATTTCTTGTTGTAAAATATACTATATCATTTTTCGATTATGTTGAAAAATATCAAATTTGACACACAAAGAAAGCAACATGATTATTCTTTTAGATGTCATTAAAAAAATAATAATGATGAAGTCAAATTTTTCTAAATTACTATATATTCATATTTGGAGACTATTAAAATATTTACAATGTCTTACCTGATAATTGGCGAGTGATCCAATTAGAAGGCAGGCGGTAAAGAAATACCGCCTAAACAACTCCCGCATGACCTCCTGGAGGACGATTAACCTCCATTTATTTGTCACTTGTTTGCACAATACATCCACACGTTCCAGTAATGTTAGTCCTGTTGCACATTTTTTCCACTTGTGTAGACTCTGTCTCAAAACGAATCACAACTCCTAGAAAATAAAAGTGATTACTGTAATATCTGATGACAACAACACAGGTAAAGATAAATACTGTGATATATCTCCACAGAGCGAACGATAAATCATTACGATTTTTCTACATATATCGAACTGTAAGAATTGATTTCTCTATTCGATAAACTGATGTCGATGTCAATGGCACAGGTTATCATAAGTGGTGATCTGCGCAGTCTTGTGGATGAAATGAATGACATAAATCTGCACAGGTCAATAGGTGTTGTTCAATTGTAACAATTTATCGTTACATATATAACTGCCGCAAAATTTACAACTGATCAATTATGTTTTCCCAGATTAAAATGACGAAAATATTTCATTTCCTATTCCAGATATATTATATTCAGCTTTTTATTAAGATATTAATGAAATGCCATTTTAAGAAGAAAACTTATATAAACCGAAACTTAAAAATCTTGTTTGTGGGTGATGATTTCTTTTTCGCTCCTTCATTTTTGTATATCACTGAATTACCTACTTCTAAAATATGTTTTTTGATACATTTCACTATTTCCCTACAGTGGAGAGTCTCAGTTTAAAAAGAAAACGCAGAATCCTTAGAAATCACAAAATAAATACATAAATATAATATACTTACATAGTTTTCATTATAAACCCGTTCACAGATTTGACTAGTTTCTATTCATTCAAATTAGTGGCAACCTCAGTGATTACGAGCCTTTAATAATAGTAAATTCATGTTAAAGAGCTCTACAAGAGGTTGAGTGGGTGTAATACACTCAAAATTCTTTCAGACTTTGCCACTGGCTGATCTTAAAAAAATTTGTTTATGTTATGCAGAATTTCGCAACTTTTGTTAATCTGATTAATTTTTAATAAAGCTCATAGTTTTTAAAAAAACGAAATTAATTGCAGCACTGTGTTAATTAGAAAATAATCAAAAACAATAATAATCTATGAATATATCTGTCAAAAATGATAAATAATTAAATAATATTGTTTCAATTCCTTTCATCTCGAAAAGATTTGTAGAATCTTAATATAAATGCAATATAAGAAATGATAACTATCCTAAATTTCGGCAAAGCGTAAGTTTATGCCTAGAAAAAATGGTAATTTTCACCAATTCCTTTAAATTTGTAACATTTACTTAATGTTACTGATTGCTTATTAAAACTTATTTCTGTTAATTGTGTTTTTAATTGAATTCGTTAAATTATTTTTATTGAAGTACTAATCTAACTATTTAATTATTTCCAATTCAACATCATACTGTCGTTCGCGTTTTTTGTTTACATTAGAAAATATAATAATAATTCTGCCTAAATTTGATAGATTCGTAGATTACTAGTGAGTTTTTAATTATTTTCTATAATGAACAAAAGTAATATCATGCTTTACTTAATCCTTTTTTTCTTGAAAACGATGGGGTGTATTAAAAACACACAATCCAAAAAAAACTCTAGTGCGAAGATTTAGACTCCGGTTTTGATGCCAATAATCGATAAAACACACTCTTAGTCAAAGTTTGGATCTTCGGTGATATTTAATGTTGAACATTTTATTTAATATAATATTAGGCACACAAAAAAGTCCGAACCCAAAGATTTAACATATCATTTCCCATGTATTTTGATGAGTTGAAAACGATACCGTAGTCAGAATGTATGCACGCGACCGACCAATATCTTGCAAAATTTATATTTAGGGTGAAAACGGACCTAAAAATTGCTCATAGTCAAAAATTGATTTTGCTTTACATAATATCTGACATATTATTTCCGACGGATTTTGACCAGCTGAAAACGATACCGTAGTCAAAATTTAAGTGATATGTCAGGTCTTTGGGTTCGAACTTTTTTGTGTGACTAATATTCTATTAATTAAAATAGCCAACCCTAAATATTAAGAGCGAAACTTTGATTAGTCAAACTCTTAGGAGTGTGTTTTATCGATTACACAGCCCCACAAAAAAAAAGTGTCGGATCTGATATTCAGACCCATGTATTTCCATGTATTGTTTCCGCTTAATCCGAATCTGCCTTCAGATTTGGCACAACGGGTCTGAATTTTCGGGAAAATTCAAAAAACAGGTCAAAATTCACAAAAAACTTCATTTACGATCAACGAAAGTTATAAAAAATCAAATTATTCTACCAGCTCACTAGACATATGCTTTTTCACTCGTTTAATTCCAATTTATCATCATAGAGTCAGACAAGCTGGTCCATTTTCATTCAAAAACAGAAAATAGATCAAAACGCCATTTTCATGGCATAATTCGTGTTGCAGAGTTCGGGATCCATCTTGTTATCCACCCACCCATTTATTAATTCATACATCTTTCTATCCAGTCGTTCATGCATGAATACGCATATTTATTCATCCACCTTTACCACGTATAAAACCCACCCATCCACCCATCTATCCATCTACTTTTTGTACTGAGAGATGAGATAACAGCCTAGAATATTGAGAACGCAATAAAACTTGTAGATTACTCTACTTTATAAACAAAAGAAGACGATATCTATAAAACATGCTTATTTTTGTTGCTATAACGTGTTCTCGTTACTTCAAAGGATCTATGCAAAGAGTTACGCTTTCGTTTAGTCCCTCTATTTTTCGTTTCTCTTTCTAACAAAAATCGGCCATCATGTTGTGATCCCATCTTCCTTGATATCGCTGTTCTATAAGCCTTGATGAGATCGTTCGCCTTGTTCTTCGCTATAATCTCTAAGATTTTCAGGAAACTAGTCCAGATGTGAATGAAGGAAGTGCAACTTGTAGTCCATCAAACATCCCAAGCCTTGGAAGACTTTTATTATTTTTGATACAATTTCTTCGTATTTAGGACTCTTGTTGTTTTCTAAAAAATGTGTCGCTACATCTTTTGAAACTAGTCCAAGCACTCTTCTCAACGCTACTCATTGTAGTGATGAATCCTTGAACAATGTCCTAATCTGAGGTCCAGCGAATACACCTTCTTTCAATTTCGGTCAGAAATATTCGGAAATTTTCGCCTTATAAAGAGAAACGAATAATAGAGGGACTAAACGAAAGCGTAACCCTTTGCGTAGATCCTTTGAAGAAAAGAGAACACGTTATAGCAACAAAAATAAGAATGATTTGTAGATATCGTGTTATTTTGTTTAGAAAGTAGAGTATTCTACAAGTTTTATTGCATTCTCAATCTTCTAGGCTGTTATCTCATCTCTCAGTCTCTCAGTACAAAAAGTAGATGGATAGATGGGTGGGTTTTATAGGTGGTACAGGTGGATGAATAAATATGCGTATTCATGCATGAACGACTGGATAGAAAGATGTATGAATTCATAAATGGGTGGGTGGATAAAAATATGGATCCAAAACTCTGCAACACGAATTATGCCATGAAAATGGCGTTTTTAAGCATTTTGATTTATTTTCTGTTTTTGAATGAAATTAGACCAGCTTGTCTGACTCTATGATGATAAATTGGAATTGGACGAGGGAAAAATCATACGTCTAGTGAGGTGGTAGAATAATTTGATTTTTTATAACTTTCGTCGATCGTAAATGACGTTTTTTGTGAATTTTGACCTGTTTTTTTAATTTTCCCGAATACTCAGACCCGTTGGGCCAAATCTTAAGGCAGATTCGGATTCAGCGGAAAAAAATACATGGAAATACATGGGTCTGAATACCAGATCCAATACGTTTTTTGTGGGGCTGTGTTATTGTCATTAAAATGAATAGCACTACCGAAGTCTATATCTTAGCTACAAAGTAGTCTAATTTATCTAATCTGTGTCTTAGCATTCAATGTGTGTGTGTGTGCGTGCGTGCGTGCGTGGGTGTGTGGGTGTGTGGGTGTGTGTGTGTGTGGGTGTGTGGGTGTGTGGGTGCGTGCGTGCGTGCGTGTGTGTGTGTGTGTGTGTGTGTGTGTGAAATTAACGGGAATAAAAAAGTTGTAAAATGAAATTCTACATAGCAGAGTATTTTTCAAAATCAAAGTGAAAAAAAATCCTATTAACATTAATTTATTGTTAACTAAGACAAGTATTGAATCCAGATCATGTACTAAACTTGATTTTTCTACATAATATTATTATACAGGGTATAGCAAAGTTGTAGAGAATTTAATTCTGCATCTCATGGTATGAAAATATACAGGGCGTTGCATTTAAAAAATCGAGATATTTAAATTTTCCAATTGACAATTTTGACATGATATTTTGGTTACCCTGTATAACGCAGGCCAGTTTTTGGAGCATGATTCGGAAGAGTCATCCTTACTAAACATCTGATAAAAAAATGGGCTTAGTAGCTATTAGTATAACCTGTCAGTATCGGAAAATGTAAGCAACCAATATCGACTAGAAAAACCTTTCAAGCGAGATATCTCAAAAACTGTGAATATTTGAATAGAACTATTCTACACAAAGTACCCTTTATTTTTTATGTAGAATCCGAAAAAAATATAAAATATGTGTGTTTAAATTTAAAAAACCAAAGTTGGTGTCTGTCTGTCCAGGAAAAGTGGAATTAAGAAACGTATGTTTACAAAAATAATTTTTTAAGAATAAAAAAATAGTCAGTGGCACCTATTGCGAGACAACACTACACCAGTCTTGAGCAGTAACCCAAATCAAAACAATTACTAATAAAAATGAAGGTCAGCTCTAAGCGGAGTCTGCATAGTAGATACGAGTAGTAGACATCGATTGCATTCATTAAGACTGTTTGTACCCCTCTACCTATAAAAATAAGATTTGGAAAGGTCAAGTTAAAGGCTAGCCAACGTTGGACGATTAAATAAAACAAATACAAATTAATAACAAACTTTTTAAACAACACATTAGATTTTAACGAGTTGCTTTCTTGTTATTTATTTTTGTTATTTAAAAATGGTGTTATTCTTATTTACTGAACGACAAATATCGTTGCCATTTCGTATGTTGTTACATAGTTTCGTTTCCATTTTATTTCCATGATATTACATGCTTACCTTTTATGGAAAACAAGTTGAA